CTAATAGCCGTGCTTCACAAGACAAAAAAACCGCAAGACGAAGAGACTCGCGGAACGGATTAATTTCGTCTTGCGAGGCACCACTGTATTGTGTAATAGTAAAATGTATCTACTAGCCAGAATCTTTTTGGATGTCTCTAAGTGATATTGGAATAATTATTTTTAAGCACTAGCAAACCAGGGCAAAAGAAGGCAGTGGTGTAGCCAACAGTATCAAGGAGTGTAGAGGCAGTACTGGTCTCTTGGCATGTAAGGAGTCAGTTCCAAGGACTCTGTAGCAGGAGGAAAACATGGTTATCAGCATTTGATGTCAATGCCAGGCTTATGGCTGAGTAATCTTGCACTGGAAGAAAGGGGAGGTATAATTGATTATAAAACAGAGTTGATCAGAGATGGAGGGGCAGTTCTGACAGATGTTCACAAGAGAGATGTTCAGACTAAAATGCAGAGGGTCAAACATGGCTCAAATAGAAATTTATACTTCCTCACTTCTCTCTGGATTCACCTTACCCAGATGGACAGGGTGCAAATGTAAATTATTATTATTATTACTACTACTACTACTACTCAGTGGTTCAGCAGTCACCCTTGCTTCAGTTCCCTGACTTGACTTTTTTGTCTGGTGATGCATAATGCAGGACACCCTTCTCCAACTCTTGAGTGAATTCTTGAGTTTTGGAACATCTGATGCCAAACATAAGTGATCATATGATGCCATTATGCATGCTGATTTGAATACAGTACATCACACTTATAGGCTGATTATCAATATCCAGTGAAAAGGGGGGAAGAGGTTTTTCATATTTATTATATATCACATACGGTATCATATGCAGAAGACTAACTGCAGCCAAATGTATGGAATTTGGGTTTGTATCCAGTGTTAGCATCCAGTGCACATATGTGTGCATGCATTTGTACAGTGGGTTTATCTGTTTTAAAGTTATTTTAGTGCTGCAATAATCTAGGGTTGCCATATTTCAAAAACCAGGAGCTTTTTTTTTTTTTTACAAAAATGCCAAAACAACGTGGTGTCCAAGAAATCCAGACATATGGAACCCTACAATAATCCACTGTAAGTTGTACCTGTACCTAGTGCTTAAACAAAAGGGAGACATTTATGGTAGTAAAGTAACATCTTTGGGTCTCATGCGTCTTACTGTCAACTTTTTTTGCAATGGTAATACACTTGTACCTTGGATCCCGAACACCCTGGAACTCAGATGTTTTGGCTTCCGAATGCCACAAACCTGGAAGTGATTGTTTCGAATGTTCTTTTGGAACCCAAATGTCTGACAGGACTTCTGCAGCTTCTGATTGGCTTCCTGCAGCCAATCAGAAGCTGCACTTTGGTTTTGGAAGTTGAACGGACTTCCGGAACGGATTCCATTCGACTTCCAAGATACAACTGTAGTTCAGTTAATGCAAGATGACTGTGCATTGCATCAGAACTTAGGCACCTGTACTTCCAAGCAAACGTGCACAGAACTGGATTCCAAGATTCATTTAGCTTGGGCATTTTTGTTTCTAGTTTTGGAAACATACACTAAATAATTATCTTTTGCTGGATGCATTCTTTGTGTTGGAACTCTGCAAGTATCTGAGCTACATAAGATCTATTTCAATTCATGTCCTAAGCAGAACAAAAAGGATGGTGTGATCCTGTTCAAGTTTGATGCCTTGCTGCATGGTACTTGAAGGCATTTCTTAACCAAACCCAAAGTGAGTTGAGTTGCCGCTTGATCCTAGTTGGCCTAGCAAAAAGTTGATCGGGATCAGTCTAGTTTTTCAATAAGATATGTATTTCACAAATTGCTTCAGGCTTTTAAATAGTCTCTCACTAGTCAGTTACCAGTGGTGAATCATCATCTCTTGGCAATGGGAGCTTTTATAAATTATTAGACATTTTGTTCTGAGTGTACTTTCAGGCGGTCTGTGTGCTACACATAACTTGCTAATATAGGCATTTGTTGACGAGCAATAGAAATGTTTTGTCTAGTAGCCTTTGTGATCTTTTTTTGCTTTAAGTTCAGTGATGCGGAGAAAGGATTTATCCATTTATATTATTGAATTATCTGTATACATAATGGACTATTCAACACATCTTTACTAATCGGATGCTATGAATATTCTCTGGGGATTATCCATGGAGTTGGATAAGACATTCTATTAATGGTCCAGCTTCTGCTGCAGGTACTGTTGGGGAAAAACATTGTAGCTATTGGATATAGGTTTATTGACAATAGTAGCAAGAGGCCTGCCTATCGATGTGGTGGAATAAGCCCAAGAACCTCCACCCTCCATAGTTGATATTTCAGTCTGCCTTATCTCTTGAAACCCGTCTCTGCTGACTCCAGTATCAGACTCTGGGAGCAAGGGTATCCTGTGGTTCCAACTGACTTAGTTACACCATAGACAGAGGGGATTGTCGGGGGGCTCCATGGAGACACTTAAGATATTATGTTTGCACTAGCAGTGGTTTTGCCTCCAAGCTCAATTTACTGTTATCTCACCTGGAAAGCTTCAGGTGAGATCCCATGCAATGGCCTTCAAAATTGGGAGGTGGTCTGTGCTTGCATAGAGGTACTGTTATGTGAACTGGCATCTGCATGTGGGGCAGGAATGGGAAACCTGTGGCCTTCCAGATCTTGTGGGATTACAGATCCCATCAGCCCTAGCTAGCATGTGTAGTGGTCAGGAGTGATGGGAATTGCAGCCCAACATCATCTGGAGGGCCACAGGTTCCCACCACTCATTCAGGATCTGTATCACTGAGTGTGGCAGCTAGAACTAGGTTGCTGCAACCATGGAAGTGGTAGAAGCTCCATATATAGCCTTGATGCACACTAAATCTGCATAGAAGCCTGGTCTAGTAGCAGCCCAGTACACAATGGAATCCACCCAGTTCAAAGCAAAACATAAAGGTCATCTTAACCTTAATCATGACTGAAGAAGAACTTCAGCAAATGCAAGAATATTCAGAGAGTATTTCCCTTGGTGTACAGCTTGACTGTGCATTTTAGAACCATTTAATCCAAGCAACCCACTTGCATTCTTGTATTTTTTACACATACTAAGAATGGAATACATATCTATCCAAGACTAGCCCTTGAAGGAGACCTGTGAAGTAAAAACAAAGCACCATTGCATTGCCACTTTAAAGAAAAACCTGTGTGCATTGTTACACTACATGGATTTTCATGGATCTCTTTCCCAAGCGACAAAAACACTTTTAAGGCATTCAATTTGTTGGTTGTTTGGTTTTTTTGGAAGGGGGGGAGAGAGAGAAGAAAGTTGTCTGGGGATACTATGGAATGTCTTCAAACAAGATGAGTCTTCACGTATAGATGGGCAGCATGTAACATGTATATGTGATGTACTTTTAACCCTTTTCACACTGAGTATACATGTTTCTTCCTGTTGAGAGATTCACATTGCTCATTCACACACTATTTGCAAACTGATGTGCCTCCTCCCTTTTAACTTTGGTCTGTCCTGTGTGTTACTGCTCTAGTTCTGTGATGGTCCCTTCTAAAAGCTGTTCCCTTCCCAGACCTTATCTTCATAAATGAGAACTGAGGCTTTCCCTCTCCATTATATGTGCGTGTAGATCTGATTCCAGTGGGTTATGAATGTCCTCTTTTTTATAAATTCAGTCGCTCCTTGTTACACAGTGGCATTTTTCTTTCACTTCCATTCTACTCACAGATTAGTCAATGGGCCACAGGTCTTTCTGTAATATATAGATCACTGGAGTTAACAAAGCACCATGGACTGCGCTACTGAAGCCCCAATGATCAGCTGGTTGCTGGGGCTTCTGTACACAGCAGCACCCAGTTCCTCATCCCTATTCTATAAGATAATTCATCTCTTTATGTATAATCTACCGCAATAATTCCCAAACCAAGGAATTCATTGGATAATTGATGGTTCCCATAAGTGCCAACCCATAGGAAGAGGCTATTCTCTGCATCAGTGTGTGTAAGTTTGAGATGTATTCCTCCCATTTTATTATTTTTTAATACAAACTACCTCTTTTATCAGAAATTTGGGAGATGTTAATTTACTGTGTTTTATCTAATTAATTGCCACATACTCAAACTTCTCCCCCCCAATCAAACAAACAAACATACCAGTGGGGCATAGTCCTCAACTTTCTGTCTACCCTTGATATTGGCAGGGCCAGAAATACAAACTATGCATGAATACGTGTAAAATACCGGTCAAGGCTTTGGTTAGACCCAGGATAGGGGAACATTTGGCTTTCTAGAAGTTGCTGGACTACAGCTCTCATCACCCTGACTGTTGGCCATGTTGACTGGGGTGAATGAGAATCCAAAATCTTTTGGGGCAGGGGGACAACAGGTTCTGTATCCCTGGTTTAGTCTTGGTTTGTTTGCCCATCATAGGCAGTCAGTCCTGTTTTGCGCCATAATCTGCCTTTGTTTACTAAACACATAATACTTGCCACTGTCAACCTACTTCCTTGGACAATGTCACAAAAAAACCACATGGAATGTGCCAAGCTAATTTTCAAGATGGCCTTTTAAAACCTATTTGCTCTCCTGGTCTTTTAGAAACTTAATGTTGTCCACCCTCCTCTTAGTGCTTTTATCTCTTAACTGCACCATGTGACATGGAGGGTGAAAAGTCACCAAGCACAAGAAATGTCAAATGTTGGCATTTCCCCATTATCCCAGTAACTTTTGTGGCCCACACTGTTTCCCCTCCCAGTGCCACAGTCTGCTCTTCTCCATTATTCGTGTTGACAAAGGATGTTCCATCTGTAGACTGTTCCCCTTGTTTCTGCTTCTCCATTTCTTGTATTATTATTTTCTTTTCTACTTCTTCTTGTTGTTTCCTTTCTTTCTCACTCTTGTGCTTTTTTGTCCTTTTGCTTGTCTGTTTATTTTCACCCTGTTTCTCCTCCTCTCTTCCTCTCCACTTCCAACTTCCTCTTCCCTTCCTTTCTTCCTCTCCCATCTTTGGTTCTATTGAAGTTGAGCCCAATGCCGGGACACCACGCCGTAGACCTCTCTCCTTCTGCCCTTGCTGTGCCCATGAAGGTAATGTAATTTCTTGCATTCCCTCCATTCCGTTCCCAAACCGCCATTGGATTGGTGTAGAGACACTAGTGAGCTAGCAACAATATCAAGTGGCTCACCGCCAAACTTTTCTTTCCTTCAATCTCAAAGAAACCCTCTATAACAACCTTGTTATGAAGTGTGTCTGGCAGGATCGTAAAGGTACAGTATCCTTTTTTCAGCTGTGCATTGTGGGGATAAGGATAGTCTTGAAGTTTATTGGCGCAATTGATCAGAAATGACTGTAGTGGCATCAGTTTCATGCCTTAAGGGTTCTGTTTGGCGTGTTGGATGATCTTGCAGGGGAGTGGGGTGTGAGTCTACTTCCTTTAAAAAAAATAATACACATGGGTTAAAGGCATACTGTCTTTTGTAATGACTGGTTTCCCCAACAACCCTTGACTTTGAAAAGGCACCCTCCTGATCTGCCATAATCTAGACTGGTCTTCTGCAGTCCGTATCTTGCTAAGCATCTTCTTTATCCCAAGTGGAACCAGATTACCACTGAAGTGTTTCCATTTCCCAAGGCATGGGGGAAAAGGGGTGGAATGTGACCGCCATGTATAACTTCGGCTAACCACTCTCTCTGCTTTTCATGGTGTGCTTTCATCAGTTGTTCATCTTTCCTCCCCACCCCTGCCTCTCCCTCTGCTCATTGGCTGTCTAAAAATAATAATAATAAAAATCTACATCCTACAAATGAACAAAAGTTTCCATAGGTCAGTGTTGACATGTATTTGGCTGCTTTGTGCAGAAGTTTCTTTTCTGATTATCCTCACAGTGGAAAGGGTGGGGAGATTCCCCAGTGCTTCTCATGGCTCCAATGCACTGGGCATCTGCATGTGTAAGCTTCTTCTCTCTTTCCACCATGGCTATGAGGGCACCTTGTGCAGAGATGCTCAGAGAGGCTTAATTGGGACCAAGCAATGGATAGGTATAGCCATCCACAGCCATGATTGGCTAGGGTGAGATTTCCGTACTGTGTATGTTTGCTTCTTGTGTTCTGGAGCTGTGTTGGTGGTTTTGAAAGAGGAGGAGAATTCTCGTTACCTGAGAATAAGTGGTAGGAACAGGGCCACCAAGAACCTCAGGACCATTTCGTTTTCTTGACCGTGATGGGAAATAATGTCTTGCTGCATAAAGGCATCCTCAGTTACAAATCACGCATTAGTCAGTGTCATTCAATACTGACAAGCACTACCAGGAACAGATAATAATGCTTTGGTAGCTGGATCTAACTTGGTAGCTGACCATCCCCATTCTAGAGTGTCTCCCTTGGGCTTCCATAACCCCATAAGAAGAGTCTGCATTTTGGAATAATTAGAATAGTGTCTAATACAAATATTTTGCCATTTGCACATAAGTAGGCACAAATTTTGCATCATATTTTCCTTAGAATAGATGTCTCCATTAGTTTTATATGAGATGAGAACTCATCTATGGTATGGATGAGAAACAGGAGTTAACCCTGTCTGCAACTTGACTGTGTTCTTTCCATATACCAGTTTCCTAAACTATTGACACCTCTGATAGGATGGTGTAATCTGATAGGTGCAGGAAACAGCTGGAATCCCTCTGGGCCTACAGTGGTTAGGCCAAGACCCTGATCATCAGGAGCACATAACCACTTGCTTCCAAACTGATTTTTAGGATCTGAATCCAAACAGCTACCCATAAAGAGCTGCATATTTCATTACTAGATATGGGTTGTGGCTGTAGCTCTCTAAAATAACATAAAATGGCTATGCTGTTTATTTCATATCAGGCTTTGCTACTGGGTCTACTAGCTTGGTTTTCATTGATTAAGCTTTTATTGAAATACAGTCATACCTCAGGTTGTGAATGCTGCAGGTTGCGCGTTTTCGGGTTGCGGACCATGCCGAACCCAGAAGTACTGGAGCGGGTTACTTCCAGGTTTTGGTGCATGCACAGAAGTGCAAAATGATCCCATGCGCAAAAGCGCTGAATTGCTTTACATGTGTGCGCAGATGCGGCATTGTGGGTTGCAAACATGCCTCCCGCACAGATCACATTCACAACCCGAGGTATGACTATACCTGGGAAGGTACCATGCTTCCTCTTCCTTTTTATGTGAGCAGATTTTCTTCTTGTGCTTTTCTACCATGCACTAGTGGTCTTGAGCTGGTGAACTTCAACTGATTGAACCTGTATTTATGCCACACAATACGCGTTTTTTGTTTAAGTGAGGGATCTCTAGCAGACATATTGAGGCAGATCTGCCTGGTGTGACTGATAAAGCCAAGAGGAAGGGAAATTATTGATAGCAGTGGTCAGGAACTGGTTGCTTTCAGTCATTAAGTTAATGCAGGTGGCTTGAAAAGGGGAGAGCACAGCAGATAAGAATACAATACTGGTAGGAGCCAGAATCAACTCTGAAACAGCCCATCAAGGAACTGTTCACTAATCGCTCTATAGTTATATGTAAAGTGGACAAATGGGTGTTGATTAAGGTGTGAGTGAGAAAACATGGCTTGAAACAGGTAGGCTTTGTTGGAAAGTGTTGGAAAGTGTCAGAGCTATGTTTGAAAGTTTCCAAATTGAAAAGGACAACAGTAGAAAAATACTGAAAAGTGACTGTAATTATGGCTATTGGTTTGGCGGGAGATGTGATGGGGAAGGTAGACTCAGGGCACATGGATCCAGTGGGTTTTTTTTTGTTTCTTTTACTGGAGGGGACCCTCCTTCCTGTGTGCCATAGACAAAGTAAACAAGCAGATCTGACAAGAGTGCTCTGGCAGCATCTAGCTCAGCTTTCTTTGCACATTTTGCCCCACTCCCATTTTTGTTCCTGCCTGCCTGCCTGCTGGATTTATGGAAACGGCGGGAATCTTTCTCCAAGCTGACCTAAACTGTTCTCTTGGCAGGCATGGGGAAGAAGGACGACCCCAAGCTGATGCAGGAGTGGTTCAAGCTGGTGCAAGAGAAGAATGCCTTAGTGCGCTATGAGTCGGAGCTCATGATATTGTGAGTAAGGAGAGGAATTTCTGCATGCTTGGTCCACACAGAGAAGGGGAAAGTCGAGGCAACTATCCCCAGGCAGAGATATGTTATGGAACCTGTTTCTGTCTTCACCTTTGATGTGATGACAATGTACAGATGGGAATCCTGTTGCTCTGGAGACCCATAGGTGCCCCAAGTAAAATAAAATTTTATAAATCTGATGAAGTGATCTGCTGCTGAGACCTGGTTCTCTTAGCATTTCCTTCTCATTCATGATTCTAAATAAGGTCAATGTAAGAAAGAAGATCTTGTCCCTTGCAGCTCAGCCCTGATGTGCAGTGGGCAGTAGGGGCCAGATGGAGTGACTTGGCATTTTCCTGTTATTTTCTCATCTGCCTTTCTGACCATTCTGCAACGTGGGTTTAGGTGAAAAACCGACATGTATGTTAGTCAAGGGAGGTTGTTCTGAACAAGGTTCTTAGTACAACTGAAGGATTGCCTTACAATCAGTACTGAAAGGGAACACTTTACTACCTGAGCATGTTAGATTTTTAAGCCAGTAGCTTAGACTGCTGCTGAAACAACCCAAACCAGACATTTGTCTATTCTTCTCTCCTTGCAGCGCTCGGGAGTTGGAGCTGGAGGACAGGCAAAGCCGACTACAGCAAGAACTTCGGGAGAGGATGGCAGTGGAAGGTAAGTCTCATCGATGTACTCTGGTTCCCAGTAGAAAGCCCCTGCTACTTCCTTGGCTAGTTTGACAAGACTGCTTGTCCCTTTCTTTCCTAGATCACCTAAAGACAGATGAAGAGTTGTCAGAAGAGAAAAGGATCCTGAATGAAATGCTAGAGGTGGTGGAACAGAGAGATTCTCTTGTGGCCCTCCTCGAAGAGCAGCGACTCCGGGAGAAGGAAGAAGACAAGGACCTAGAGGCAGTCATGCTGTCCAAGGGATTCAACTTAAACTGGTCCTGAGCTTAGCAGCGCACTCGTCTGCCGATCTGCGTTGTCCAGTTGGCATGTGCCAAGTTGGCTGGAGCTGCCTGGATGGATACCTTGGCATAGAAACCTCTTGAAGGTTCTTGCAGCGCCTGAGTGCTTCTTCCTGAGAGGGGGTCGGATCGAAAAGTGCTGAGGCCTTTATGAGGCCTGCAAACCCCAAGCCTGAGGTGGTCAGCTGAGGTTGTGTGCCTTCCTCAAGGACCTGTGCAAAGAGGCCATTGAGTTTTTGCGATCTCTGAGAGAGGCTAAAAAATGAGATGAAAACATTTTATTTAAAAAAAAAAAATACACCACAACTTTAACCAATTCAGGTGGGCCGTAGCTTGTCCGTTTCATATTTACTTAGCTGGTTGTGTTCTTGTTTTTGTTTTGAAATACAAAGGCGAGAAGTGGCTACTCTCTTCTGAAGCATCACCCTGCAGCAGCCCATGGGAGAGCAAACCACTCTGTACCCCAGAGCACACTGTGTGTATGTTTAAGGTTTTCCTCACCAAAGAAGCCTGAAGCTGCCATTATTGTCTGGGTATGGAGGAACCCTGAATTCAGAGAGGACTGGAGACTTGGAAGGCTGGCTGACATGAAATACTTGCCCTGTGTGGTTTCTACAGAAGATACAGGCTCCAGTGGACTAGCTCTCTTTGCTGCAGCCTCCACAAGTTGCCATTGTTCTAAGAGGGGAAGAGTGTGTAAGCCACCCCCTTTCTGCCATGCAGTGCTCTGGACTGAAAGTCACAGTTTTCCTGTCTCCATTGACAGTAGACTGCTCTGTTGTGAACCTTGTGACAATTTTGACACTGGAAAGTGCTGATTTTGAAAATGGGTTACTTATGAAGCAGTTTGCGGGAACGCTTGGATGAAACCCCTTGCTTCGAATCCCCCAAGAATGGACTCTCAATGGGTTTTTGTTTTTTGCGTATATATCTATATCTATAGATATATATCTTTATTATTTTTTGCACGTTGGAAATGAAGCAAAAGACCTACCCGGGCCCTTTAGTCACTTTAGACCCTTTAACGTCTATTAACTTATTTTTTAATACTTGAAAGATTTGGGTTTTATACCTTTTTAAGAAGTGAGCAAATGTTTGAGTGGTGAATCTGTGTGCCTGCTGCATTCCCCAACCTTTTTCTTTTGTTGTTCTTATTTTTAATTTGCTGTTCTCCCTTTCCCTGTACCTATTTATTAGAGTTCTATTAATGCTGTCACAGTTACACGCTACTTTTGATGTGGAGAGGAGATGCTTTTATGTACTTTGGACTTGTCCCTGCACCACGTTGAGGGGCAACCCTAGGAAATATGCAGGCAGGGTTCCCAGGTAAGGTGTCTTCTCAATTAAGCTGCATCCTCACGAAGAGAGCTCACAAAGCTGAGTGGTGATGGCAGACTTTGCTCCTGCACTCCATACCCTCTGTTTCTGAATGGCAAACCTGTGCTTATTTTAACTACTGCTGTTTAAGGTTTTTGTAATTATAATTGTGGCATTGCCACTTTACCCCATATATTTAAAAAAACCCACACATGCTGGCTCTGTAAAAATCTGCCTCCCAAGGGAAGGATTAGCACAAGCCCCACTGGTTTTGTCCTAGGCCTTCATTCAGTTGGCTCAGAAAAAGGTCTTACAGTACAGTAGCAAATAGGAAATAACACAGAATAGACTCTTGTCTATAACCAGCTGAGAGGTTCCATAAGCACACCATGTCTTTCACAATAACTTTCTCAAAAGTGCCGACCTGCCACAACAGAATTTTCCATTCGCATTTTTTAGCTCCAGTTGGGCTTAGTTTAAAGAAAGAAAGCTGTAGTTCTAGTCTCCTAACAAAGTGGACTATTTTTTTAATTAACTTTTTTTAGGGAAGCAGTCATCCCAAGAAAAAGGCATGTCCTTTAAAGCAGCCACCATCTTATCTCTAGGTTTCAAAACAGGAAATGCTGTGCTTTCAAAACAGGAAAGACTAGAAAGAAAAAATGGGGAAAGGTTTTAAAACACCCATCCACTTCCTTGTTTAATAAAATGTCAGTACTGATGACGCTGAACAGAAAGCTGTTGAAGCAACAGCATGTGTTGAAATGTAGTGTCAGAAGATTTTATGCCAAAGGGGTACCATGCCTGGCATTTGTTGAATATTAAGATATTGAAAGATTGTGATGCTACACTGGCAGAATTCATACCACAGTCCCAGAACAAGCAGCACTCGTGTGTTCATGGTTCATGAGACTTGGGGGGGGGGGGGGTTTCACTAGGACTGGTGTTTATTTGTAGCTTTCAAAATGGGGGGGGGGACTAATCTCTGGCTTCCCTAATATTACTGGACTACAATTCTCATAATCCCTGACTACTGAGCATGCTGGATGGGGCTGATGGGAGTCCAATGGGAGTAGAAGGTTAGCCACCCCTAATTGAGGAAGAAAAAGAACATATAACTTCAGTTGTCTCAGACAGCATCTTTGACATCCATAGAGACCAGCAGGGGAGTGTATGGCAAAATGAAAGTTAAGCTCCCCTTCGTTTAGGATGGAGCTAGAATTCATTTGTTAAAATTTGGTGTCTAGCCACATGAAAGAGGCAAATCGGAATTTGCATTAATTATTTCTGCTGTGCCTGGTCCAATTTATAATGGAACTGAGAAAATGGATTGTTCTGTAAAGTGGTCATAATTGAACTCACTTCTATCTGTTCTTTGAATTTTTTCACTGTAGGAAAACGTTGACGCGCTAAGCTTTTTCCTAAGCTGCCTACAGCTGCATGTGGAATGAGAGTAGAACAGTCTGTCTGAGAAAGTGGAAGGGAAAGTCCTTTCCAGCTCCAGTGCAGCTGTGTAGCTCTGCCTCTAGTTAGCCCAGACTTCTTTTGGGCAGCTAAGACTCCCTTGTCACTAGAACTGCAGAGAGAGGAGAGGGGTTTTTAGAGCCCATGACAGCACCAGCAGCATTAATCATATTTCCTCTTCCACTCTTAACATTTCCTGTAATATGTTGTGTTGATTGTGCTTGATCCTGCTGTCAGTCAAGAGGTTTCTTTAAATGCAGTGTCTGGCCCTCCTTTTATGACACGGTGCTAATGCAGAAGTAACAAGCACACCTGCTGCATCCTCTGGGTTTTTAATCTGTTTTTTAAAATACATCCAGGTCAAAGGCATTTTAGAGCATCAACAAATATATCCAGAGTTGCATGCCCCAGTAGCACAAATTCTTTTTACGGCAAAAAAAAAAAAAAAAGGTTGATACCCTCCCCGCAAGGTTTTAAGAAAACGTATTTAACAGAATGTTTACATTTGGGCCCTGAGACGAAAGTGGTGTATTAGTTTTCCAACCTCATGTTTAAAAAAGAAAATGCTGTGATTGTTTGCAATAAAAATGTACCACGAAACAGTCTGTTTGATATGAAGAGGTAGAGGAGGGTATTTCTCTCTCGATGCATGATAAGAGGACAGAAGGCTTCCAAAGAATTGCTGCCTTCGAGAGCACTAGCAGTGGAGCTTCATAAGCAAGGAAGGTAGATGAGAATGTCACTAAAGCTATTGGAGGAAGGGATGTCATGTTTTGATGGCATTGCAGTAATTTAATTTTATACATATATATATATATAAAGAAGTATGTATGTGAAACAACCCTGTCCCAAGGAACTGTGGTATCTTCCCCTTGGGACAGGTGGGAACTCTGATATTCAGACTGTTTTATTGTTGGCGTGTGTGCAGTGTAACAGGAAATTGTGTACCGTACCTGTTTTCATGTCTAAAACATCCCAACCCCTGTTTTACTTCCTATTTTTGGTTGCATTTCATTCTGTACGTTCTTATGCACACTTGCTTTGTTGGTGTTGAGAGTTTAGCACCTCAGGTCACCAACGTAACTAAAAAAAAATAAAAAAAAATAAAGTCATTAATTTTTTCTTACTTCATTGGAATTTGATTTTGCTTCACGGTTCACGCCAACAGCAAATTGTTGGCGGCCCTATTCTGCACCGTTTCCAGTTCTACACTATCCTTTTTGAGATGTAATAACCAGAGCAGTACACGGTTGTGTACAATGCTGCCATTTTGCTCCTGCAAGTCTTACACTTGTGCAACAGTACTGCCCCTTCTCTCCCCTTAAAAATCTGTTCTAGAGGGTTGGCGGACCATCTGGAACAGTTTTCATTTAGGGGGGGCAGGGATAGGAGAGGAATTAGAAGTCCTATTGCATGAGCAGAATGTCAATAGCACCACTATAGCACAAACCCAGTATTACAAGTTTGAGAGCACCATAGACTTTTTATAAAGACACTATACCATATTGGCAATTTTATTTTCTATTGCTTTCCTAATTATCCACCACAACTCGTATGATGTGTTTCCAGTGTTGCATTGGTGGCTTAAGTTCTATAACATGGTGGACGTGTCATTTATATATATAATACCCCAACGCAAAAGAGGATGTATCTCAAGATGCTGAAAATCTTGGTTTTGTCTCCAGAGCAGCCTGACGTGCTATGGCCAATTTTTTACTTAAAAGCTGCCTTCAAAGCATATCAAAACAAATATAATAAATCATGTAAATAGCATATACACGCAACTCCTGCTTAACCATCACAATGTGTCCACAATGTGTCCCACAATTTCCATTATTTCTTATGGGAACACTTGTAATGCAGGTTTTTGCTATGTCTCTTCTCAACCCCACCCCCTCTGCCCATGGTTTCTTCCTGAAATCACCACAGCCAATCAGCAAAAGAGAGGCAAAGTAAAAACAAAAAAAACCCCAATCTGATTTGTCTGACTTTTTCTGCTCCCTGATTTGTCTGATTTTTGCCCCTGCTCTCTGATTCATCTGCTATCACTCCCCTCTTCCATAGTTGCTGCCTGAAACTGGCCACCACTGACCAGCACAGCAGAAACAACCAAGAAAGTACGAAAGCCGGATATTCGGATAAGTGAATCTGCAGAGCCAGGGCTTTTTTTCAGCCGGAACTCGCGGAACTCAGTTTCCAGCACCTCAGTTGTGGAACCAACCCTTGGAATCCCCTCCGCTTGAATAGTGAAGTCCCTTCTTTTTCAACAAGCCTTTTAAGTTGAGATCTTTCACTGTCTGCATCTGTACTGGAATGGGCTGTAAGATGTTTTTATGGCTTTATCGCTTGTTTTTGCTTCCCTGGTCTCCTCTGTGAGGAAGGACAGAATAACTATTTAATAAATAAAATTAAAACATTGGCATATATATATAGCATTAAAACATTAATAAAATTAAATAAAATTAAAACATTGGCATATATATATATATAGCATATATATATAGGGGAAATTAGCCCTCCCCACAAAAACCGACACCAGATCCAGAGGCACACAGAACGCCATCACCAATCAACCACACCAGACCCAAACCCAGACCCTCTCCACAGATAAATTACAGACACCATCCAGTAGCCAAACCATGGTGGCACCTCCGGATGCTGCACCCCCCTGCAATCCCTACACAGATCTGGCTGGCACAGGACACAAAACCACAGCTCGCCCCTATACACGAAGCCAAGCCAGAGCACAACTAATTGCAGTACAGCCATCTTCTCAGAAAAACTCTTCACAAAGTTCAAGAGGTCAAGACACGAAGGCTTTAGCAACTAATCCACACCTAATGACCCACCTAAGTGGTACTCAGGATATCACTCAAGAAATCACTCAAGATATCCCTCAAGTAATTAAGGAACAAAAGAAGAAAAGGCACACTAACCTGGGAACTTCCTCTCTGCCCAGAACATTGGAGGCTATACACCACACCCCCTCAACAGTATTTATAGGAACTCAAACACTGAGATCCTGCTCTGTTCCAGTAACAAGAAGCCGAAAGCACCAGCCTGAAGATGACGAGTGAGACCTCGTCGAAACGTCGCCTAGACACCCCAACTTTTACACGGGAAGACACCCGAGGACACCAAAACCTGCATTCCTGTACCCGTGAAAATCTACGAAAGCAAATATCTCACCTCTACGGGGAGGAAACCTTCCAGCTGACAAGAACCTACGAGAAACTAGAAATCCGAAGAGCCACCATCTTATGTGATCTCTTGTTCCTACGCAACTGCCGAGACAACAACTTAATTCCCACATGCTTCCAACTTAAATTCCACTCTAAAACCCCAGCTACCGAAAGGATCCTGAAACGAACTGTACTATCCCTAATCAGAAACGAACTACATAAGAAAAGATACCTACTAAACCAAACCAACAAAGATCTGCTCACTCTTCACCTCAAACTCTGTAACAAAATCCACCCTGCACTCTGGGACAAATGCAAACAACTAGCCGTCTGGAGAGCTGAAACTGAGACCTCACATAAGACAGACACACACACCAACAAACTCCACAAACTAGAGAAACGCCAGAAGCCCAGCCACCCTCCACAACAACCCATGAAACAAACAGTACATAACATATCAGACAGGATCCTCACCTCAACTGAAACCAAAGTACTCTCCAAAGGTTTCAACTTTGCAGTCGCCCCGAGACGCATCCCCACGGAAAACATCATATGCGGAGTCGAAGCTAGCCTAACCAAAATCAACCCAGATGAAGCCAATAAAATCAGACTTGAAGTCACCAACATCCTCTGCTCCAGCAAACCACCCAGAAGCAATTTACACAAAGAAGAACAGAAAGCACTCACCAACCTGAGGAAAGACAACAACATAATCATTCTCCCAGCAGACAAAGGTAATGCCACTGTTGTGATGAACACATCGGACTACCAAGCAAAACTATCAAATCTACTCCAAGACCCTACCTACCAACCTATAAAAACAGATCCCACCACCTATCTGGAAAAAACCACCAAATCCAAAATAAAAGCCTCTCCTATCAGTGAAGAAATCCAGCTAAGAATCATCCCCAGAGAAAAATCATCCAGATGCCCCAAACTCTACGGCCTCCCCAAGATACACAAAGAAGGAACACCACTCAGACCAATAGTCAGCTCCATAGGCTCACCTCTACAAAATCTTGCTAAATTTCTCGCTAAGCAACTTCAACCCTATGCAGAATCCATCTCTTCACACGTTACAAACTCCTTCCAGTTCATAGAAACAATAAAGAAGCAAAACCTACATCCCAATGACCTACTTGTGAGCTTCGATGTTGTATCTCTCTTCACACAAGTGCCCATTAATGAAGCCTTGACAGCCATTCAAAACAAATACAATCCCCCCGAATACATCCTGGACCTGACCAACCACTGCCTAACCAACACGTACTTCATCCACAATGGACAAAGATACAAACAGATAGAAGGAGCACCTATGGGATCACCACTCTCACCGGTCATCGCAAACCTGTACATGGAACACTTTGAAACCAATGCTTTAGACAAGTCAGAACACAAACCCAAACTTTGGCTCAGATATGTTGACGACACCTTTGTAATTTGGCCACACGGGAAGGAAAAACTAGATAGCTTCCTCACACATCTCAACAGCCTACACCCCAAAATACAATTCACTATGGAAATAGAAGCCAACAACCAACTTCCCTTCCTTGACGTCCTAATCTACAAAAAACCTGATGGCTCCCTAGGACACACTATCTACCGGAAAAAAACACACACCAACCGCTACTTACATGCACAATCACACCACCACCCTGCACAAATAAACTCCGTAGCCAAGACTCTCATCTCCAGAACCAAACGCCTGGCTGACAAAGACCACTTGACAACTGAGTTACAGAATCTCTCCAATGTGTTAATCGCCAATGGATACCAGCAAAACAGGGTTACGAAGCTAATGCAAAAAGAAACACCCCCCAAAAACCAAGACACAGAAGAAAACAATGGCATGGCCCTCCTTCCTTATATCAAGGGCACTACAGATAAAATTAGCAAAATCCTCCATAAACACAATATCAAAACAGCCTTTTGCACCAACCAAAAAATAGCCAATATCCTCAGAAACCCCAAGGATAAAATCCAGTTGGAAAACCAAGGGGTCTATGAAATACCCTGCAAAGTCTGCCCAGCCACGTACATTGGACAAACAAACAGACGAATAAATGCACGTATCGCAGAACACAAGAATGCCGTCAAAAAAGAAGAAAAAACTTCCTCTCTTTTCCAACACATGAAAGAAACAGGACACGAAATTAATTTTGCAGATTCCAAATTGCTCTCTAACATGGAACATCACCACAAGAGAATAATCATGGAAGCCATCGAGATAGAGAAACACCCTCACAACATGAACAAGCGTGACGACACATCCCGCCTGCCAGACATCTGGAAATTAGCCCTCCCCACAAAAACCGACACCAGATCCAGAGGCACACAGAACGCCATCACCAATCAACCACACCAGACCCAAACCCAGACCCTCTCCACAGATAAATTACAGACACCATCCAGTAGCCAAACCATGGTGGCACCTCCGGATGCTGCACCCCCCTGCAATCCCTACACAGATCTGGCTGGCACAGGACACAAAACCACAGCTCGCCCCTATACACGAAGCCAAGCCAGAGCACAACTAATTGCAGTACAGCCATCTTCTCAGAAAAACTCTTCACAAAGTTCAAGAGGTCAAGACACGAAGGCTTTAGCAACTAATCCACACCTAATGACCCACCTAAGTGGTACTCAGGATATCACTCAAGAAATCACTCAAGATATCCCTCAAGTAATTAAGGAACAAAAGAAGAAAAGGCACACTAACCTGGGAACTTCCTCTCTGCCCAGAACATTGGAGGCTATACACCACACCCCCTCAACAGTATTTATAGGAACTCAAACACTGAGATCCTGCTCTGTTCCAGTAACAAGAAGCCGAAAGCACCAGCCTGAAGATGACGAGTGAGACCTCGTCGAAACGTCGCCTAGACACCCCAACTTTTACACGGGAAGACACCCGAGGACACCAAAACCTGCATATATATATATA